CGCCGCACCAGCTCCCGCCGCTCCGGCTACGCCTTCTCCCACCAGCAGGGGTACGGAGACCTCATCACCTCCGGCAGGAGCTTACGTCCCAGAATGCACTTCCACCAGACCGGAAAGTTCTCCCCGAACGAGCGGAACCGCAACCTCTAACGGGAGGGGGGGAGGAGCCGGAGGGCGAGGAACCGTCCGGGGGGCAGTGAACGCCGCAACGCACCCCGCGACGGACAGCCAGGATACAGATCGCGGACGGTCTCTGAACTCCTGTGCAATGTCTCAGACTCCTGTTGCCGGACGCACAGCCACGGTCACTCGCGGCGGCCATCTTGGACGCAGAACTGTTTTTTGTATCTTAGAGGAACATTAAATCGCCAAAGAAAACTGAGGTCTATTTTTGTAAGATTTTGGTTAAAGTCGACTATTGCTCTCGGAGCCGGCAGCGGCCTTCTCCAAGACTGCGCCATGTTCCTGTGGGGGGAGGGGATCCCGCAACGGGCGCCTCCGGAATCGTTCTTTAATACCTCCATTTTTTATAGCAATTGTTTTTAATGTCGGCGTCCGTCACAAAGCCGGGAGGAGTCATGAAGACCTCACAGGGGCCTCTAATGGGCCCTCAGCTGCACTTCTTCACCTTTCGGGCCTCTCTCACGGCTCTTGTTCAGCGGGATGCTAACTGCACGGCGTGACATCAGATGGCCGCCAGAGGGCGCACTTCACACATGTCTCTATGATAAGGCCCGGCCTCCAGGAACCGCACACGGGGAACTCCAAAGCTGCCGCAGATATTTACTTGTTGGTTTACAATTTATATCTTTGTATTTGTCATTGAAATGGAGCAAAATACTAAGGTGCCTGACCTCCGGCCTTCCCTTCAGTCTTCTATCTGACCTCCGTCCTTCCCTTCAGTCTTATATCTGACCTCCGTCCTTCCCTTCAGTCTTCTATCTGACCTCTGTCCTTCCCTTCAGTCTTCTATCTGACCTCCGTCCCCCCCTTCAGTCTTCTATCTGACCTCCGTCCTTCCCTGCAGTCTTCTATCTGACCTCTGTCCTTCCCTTCAGTCTTCTATCTGACCTCCGTCCTCCCCTTCAGTCTCATATCTGACCTCCGTCCTTCCCTTCACTCTTCTATCTGACCTCCGTCCTTCCCTTCAGTCTTCTATCTGACCTATTGATACATTCTTACCAGCATCAATCTGGATCCCAGGACATTGTTAGCCCCGCCCACAGTCTGTTCTGGGCCTGCCCACTTTTTGGGCGGGAGCACCCGAATCACACCCACTTTACAGGTTGGTCCCACCCAGACTCCGCCTCTAAATATGCAGGGACCACTTGAGCCCCAATCCCTGCATTTAGTGCCTTATTCTCTAATCAGGTCGGTGCTGTGATCCCAGGACACGGCCCGGGACTCCCCATCGGAGGGACACGGCCCGGGACTCCCCATCGGAGGGACACGGCCCGGGACTCCCCATCGGAGGGACACGGCCCGGGACTCCTGGAGACATTCTTGCAGCCAGTCCTCCCCGGGGTCTATGGGCACCAGGGGCCCCCGGGAGTCCCGGAAACATTCTTGGAGCAGCTAGTCCTCCCCGGGGTCTAGGGGCCCCCGGGAGCCATTCTTGTTTCCTGTGCACTATAAATAAGACGCTTGAAGCTCAGAATGTGCCGGAATATTCCACCCAAAGTGCCATAGAGTCTCCGCCCCCTTCATGCAGCCACGGGCGCCATTTTGGGGGGAAACCCCGAAAATTCCAATTCAGAATCGCCATCGTTTGCGTTTGGTGAACGGCGATGGCGAGCCAATCAGAGATGAGCGGCTCTGATATGTGAATTCTGATTGGTGGGCGGGAGTCACGGCATCTCACTCGCTGCCCTTCCCTTGCTGGACTCTTCAGCAACCAATCAGCTTCAACCAAGGCTCTGAGGCGGAATCTGATTCACAAGACAGTTTGAGACGCTTTCCTGTCAGTCAAGGGTAGGCAACCTCGGCACCCCAACGGTGCTGAAACTACAAATCCCACCCTTCCTCTGCCCCTGGGAGTCATGCCGGTGGCTGTCAGAGGTCTTGCAATGCCTGATGGGACTTGTAGTTCCACCACAGCCGGCGCGCCGAGGTTGCCAGACGTGATCTCCGCCAGTAGAAATCCTCCTTTGTGTCCCGGCTGAATATATCTCCTTCCCAGTGACCGGTCCATCCTCATAGACTAGCCCCTCCCACAAAATGGCGTCCGTCGCCGCAGGCAGCCGACGGGGAACTTTGTATCATTTTTATGAAATTTGTTCTCATTTTATACGATAAAAATAATAAAAGTGTTGCGTTGTCTCCGCTTCTGGTTTCTGTATCTTCTGTACAATACAAATCCGTTCTCACCGATGAGGACGTTGTGATCGTCTCTCCCTTCATCTCCCAAGACGCTCCGCACAGAGGGCGAGGGCGCCGCCAAAAAGTGAGCCTAGGGTATCTAGAAACTGACGCGTTTCGGGGGCTCAGCACTCCTTCATCGGGGGCTGAGAAACCAGCACTCCGGCTGTGGTGGAACTACAAATCCCATCATCCCTCCCTGCTTCTGGGAGTCATGCCGGTGGCTGTCAGAGTCTTGCAATGCCTCATGGGACTTGTAGCTCCACCACAGCTGGCGTTGCCTGTATAGCATCACATAAATACAGAAACACATTAGAATGTGAGGCTAACAACTGTCTGTGCTGTTCCAGCTCCTCCGCCCCACCCCTCCCCCCCCTCCTTGCATGTCCGAGCCCTCTCCTCTTCTGGAAGTTTCTAATTACTTTCTGTGCTGGCCCAGCACCTCTATGCCTCCCTTCCCTCCTTGTAAATTAAAGCCCTCTGCTCTTCTGGAAGTGTCTAATTGCAACTGTGCCGGCCCAGCTCCTTAACATCTTCCCCCCCCCCTCTCCTTGCACATCATAGCCCTCTCCTCTCATTAGAGATTCTAATTACTGTCTGTGCTTATCCAGCTCCTCCATCTCTCTGCTCCCCAGTTGCACATCATAATCCTCTCCTCTTCTCGAAGTGTGTAATTACAGCTGTGCTGGCCCAGCTCCTCCAACTTTCCCTCAACTCCCTACATAACCTTTTACATAGTTGCTGGGGGAGGAGCTTAGATGAATGCTATGGAGCGGAAATATGTAAATAATGGCCACTAGATGGTGGAGGAGCTCAGGAAATATATACATTATGGCCACTAGATGGGGGAGGAGCTCAGGAAATATATACATTATGACCACTAGATGGGGGAGGAGCTCAGGAAATATATACATTATGTCCACTAGATGGGGGAGGAGCTCAGGAAATATATACATTATGGCCACTAGATGGGGGAGGAGCTCAGGAAATATATACAATATGACCACTAGATGGGGGAGGAGCTCAGGAAATATATACATTATGACCACTAGATGGAGCTAAGGAACTCATGAAATATATACATTATGAGGACTATAGATGGGGGAGGAGCTCAGGAAATATATACATTATGACCACTAGATGGGGGAGAAGCTCAGGAAATATATACATTATGACCACTAGATGGGGGAGGAGCTCAGGAAATAAATACATTATGCCCACTAGATGGGGAGGAGCTCAGGAAATATATACATTAGGACCACTAGATGGGGGAGGAGCTCAGGAAATATATACATTATGGCCACTAGATGGAGCCGAGGAGCTCAAGAAATATATACATTATGGCCACTAGATGGAGCCGAGGAGCTCAAGAAATATATACATTATGACCACTAGATGGGGGAGGAGCTCAGGAAATATATACAATATGACCACTAGATGGCTGAGGAACACAGGAAATATATACATTATGGCCACTAGATGGGGAGGAGCTCAGGAAATATTTACAGTATGGCCACTAGATGGAGCCGAGGAGCTCAGGAAATATTTACAGTATGGCCACTAGATGGAGCCGAGGAGCTCAGGAAATATTTACAGTATGGCCACTAGATGGAGCCGAGGAGCTCAGGAAATATTTACAGTATGGCCACTAGATGGAGCCGAGGAGCTCAGGAAATATTTACAGTATGGCCACTAGATGGGGAGGAGCTCAGGAAATATATACATTATGGCCCCTAGATGGGGGAGGAGCTCTGGAAATA